CCCCCCCACCCCCACCTCACGGGTACGGGCCATTCCCGGCCAGGAAACGCCGTGGCGCCGCGTTGGGCCTAACTCGAGTCTCGCTGCCTCCCGGGAGTGCCGTGCGCCGCAGCCCGGGCCCAGGCCCCGGCAGCGCCTGGGTCAAGGTAAGGGTCCAACAGAAAAAGAGACACCCAACCACACGACCGGTCCCCGGGGGAAGAAGGGTCACCTCAGTCTCCCCGCGTTCCTGCTCCTCGGGATCGTGGGCCTGGGCCTCCCAAGGCTGGTAGCAGGAGGATGCTGTCCTTCCTATCTTCTCGGCCACCCTTACACACCATTGCACCCCCCTTGCCTGGGGAGAAGGGCTCCTCTTAATCCAGTCGACCCTACTACCCTTTTAATGTCTTCCCTGGGTCAGGACTCTTCCCCTCCCCCTACTCTGGGCTCCCCTTTTTTTCCTGGGCACTGCTTACTCCACGTTTATACCCTTTTCAGGAGGCCTCTCGCAACCCTGCTCTCAAAATACACAGGCATACTTTTTTTTTTCCTGTCCCTGAGACCCCCCACCTCCACCCCCTGTTCTTGAGGCCTTGTGACAACTCTGATCGCTCAGGGGCCCAGTCCTCCCCTCCATAGTCTACCCGAATGCCTCTCCCTGCTTCTCGAGTCCCTATCTCAGATGGCTGCTGCTTTTTCCCTTACCAAAGACATTACCTTCACCACCCCCACCTCACATTCTTGGACTCCCTGTGGCGTGTGCCCCAGTATCCCTGCGATGTCCCCATTGAATTTGTAGGGTTCCAGCCTGGAATTGAGCCAGATTTTGTCGTTTTCCGTGCCTAGGGCGTGGAGAGCGATCTTTCAGAACGACTTTAAAGCCGGGGGGAAATGTGCCCCTCGTGAATTCTCTTCCCTTAGGCGTGCAGGCTAAGATGTGAGGTGAACGATGGTGGGCAAAAGCCCTGGTTTTCGTTGGTGAATCGCGCTGAGGGAAAGTTTTAACTGCTGGGAAAGCCCCTTCTATGCTAATTTATTCTATAGAACGTCTTTGCCTTTTTCATGCTCAGGAATAAGGGATCTTTCTCCTGTGTACTGATGCTGCAGCCCGCTCTACTGGTCTGGGTCAGGGGTGCGTGTATGACCTGCATTTTCTGCTTTCTCATGTTACTTGTGTAATGTGTTCACTAGCAACTCATTTCTTGCCCAGAGCTATGGACTCCACTGGGTTTTGTCTATACCTGAGTTCCTTTTTCCAATTTTTTTCTGTGCTTAGAATACTTAAAGAATTCAGCTTCTCTAATTTCCTTCACACTTTGCCTAAATAAATTGTTTTTAGATGACATATTTGTGACCAAGGTCATGTTTACATTACTTCCTTGGGCGTATATTAAATAGCTGTACTTTTGATTGGGGAAGATCCTGGTGATTATTACGAGCTTTTTCAGGAGGAGGTTTTTGTGTGCAACGTTTTGAAGGGAAAGTGCTTTTGATGGTTAGTTTTCTATTAATAATAGTTTTGGATCGCTGGGAGGAAAGCTATAAGGGGTGTTTTTTGATGTGTGCAGTCTGACCTAAAGCAGGGAATACTGACATAATCAGAGATTTCTGAGCTTGGAGGACACAGGAATTTTTTTCCCTTGGATCTCTTCCAGTTTTCTCAGGATCATTAGTTCTCTGGCCAAAATTTGTGGCCAGTTACAGGATTAGAGCCTTTAAGGTTATTCAGATTGTCATGTGTAGAATACTGAATTATGTCCTTTCCTAGGACACGACCCAAGAGTCTTGTTCCTAGCTGTAAGTTTAAATTTCATCACTGAATGTTTGGAAAATTGGCTTTCTAAAAACCAAAGCTTAATACTTGCTCCTAAATTGCTGGTTTAATTAAAAACGAATATTTGGAATTTGGTACGTGTTGATTTTTCTAATCAAAGATCTCAGTTTAAAACTGACGTTTGGATTGTTTCTTTCTAAAATCATATGTCCAGCCCTCTATCATGGAGCACTGGTCAAAAAAAAAAGTGTCTTAAGAAGTGGGGGTGGGGTAAAGAGAAGGTTGCTCCTGTGTTGGATCACAGGAGTGAGTATACAAGGCGGCAGCAGCTGCTGGCTCTGGAGCTCTGGTTGCTACGTGAGAAGCTTGAGTAGTGCTGGCTGCTGTCTCCAGGGAAGGACAGCAGTGCAGCGTCCATTAATGCTGTTGGCTGCAGGGAACTGCACTTAGGCGATGGCTGCTCAGGCCTGGAAAGAAACCTTGCTTGCTTTCCTGGGAAATTGCACTGCTGAGCTGGTTCGCTTTTTGTTAGTGAAGAGACCAGAATTAGCAGTTTGTAACTGTATCCATTTATGGATAGCCCCATCTGAAAACTGGATCAAGTTAAAGAGTTTGGGTTTTTGTTTAGGGGACGGGGTTGGTAGATTTTTGGTATTACCTGAGGTTTTATGCCTCCACGGGACTATAACGTCCATTAGTGTTTTGATCTTTTAAAAATCCTTTTGAAGACTAAAGTAGTATTGTAAAGATGTCCCTGAGTACCAGAATAGGGTGAAGAGGATCTATGATTTGTTTTTGCAGTGCAACTCATATGTTTTCCTCTATCTCTCTTAATTGTTTAAGTTACTCCTGATTTGTATATGTCTCTCCATATTAGGCCATATTTACGTTCATGAACATCTAAACATCTGACTATAATTAGAAACCTAAACTAAAAAGAGCTACTTTTGGATTAATATTTAATTCTTTGTTCTTATTTTCTGTATTAATCTGTAGACCTTTACAGGTTAGATAACTTCACTGATGTTTGACCTATAAATTGGATTAATCATCTATGTGTTGGATTATAGTCTTTCCACCGAACAAAGATGTGTCTTGACAGTAATCCATCAGAAACACAGGAAAAACCAGAAGGAATAGTCAGATATTGAGTAAGTTTAGTGTAGTAAGAAAGCAGCAAGAGTCCCTTTTAACTTTTGATACCCGCCTCCAACCGAACAGAACCAGGATGATCTCTAATTAAGCCCAATAGTTTATCTGACGGATTATTTGAAACAGAACCGTCACCCAGGCATGTGCAACACATAAAATCATGTGTTGTTTTTCTCTCCCTAAGATTATTACTGCAAGGAATACCTGTTTGTTTAATTTTGTATCAACGTATCTAAATCCCACAAACATCTATAATTTGTAGTTTGATTCTAGCACTTATGGCAAGGAACCAAGAAACAATGGTGAACATTTTGTCATTCACATAATGTGGTTCATACTCTTTGCAGTGCTAAAAGCAGGTCTATAAAACAAAACTTTGCTTAATGATTATTTCAGGTAGTTTTAATACAGTTGTTACATAGATAAGATATTATATCCCATAGGTATGATTTCATTTATGCGGACCGTTTAATAGACTTTCATTTAAGATGCAGCTGTTTTTAGCTTAATTATAATATACAAGTTTGTTTTTTGTGGTTTTTTTTTTTTAAGAAAATAATGACTGCTACTTTTACTTCCTGGTGGTTTTTGGGGGGATTGGGGGTACTGGTTGTAGTCTCACCGTAATAACTTTGGAGAATCAAGAGAATTTTTTCTTAGAAGGATTACTTGGACTGACATACTTAAAAATACTTACATCTTTTGATACTGTCTAGTATCTAGAAATCTGCCTACTTCTGTAAATTATTCTGACCCTTTTTGACAGTATTGGCTATGTCAACTTTGCCTTTGATGGAGAAATAAAGTCTTCATATTGAAATAACTTTGAAACATTAGGCCTTAGCAATCAGTAATTGTTGAGTACATATCAAAGAGAAATTAGATCATAAGTAAAATAAAATTGTACTATAACTTTAGGCTAAACTCTAGTGACTTGTCAGTTTTTGAAATTAAGAGGCTTAGCTAGTTAGTAGTGAGCTTAAACTGCAAAGCACCTTGGAAAATGTATATAATAGTACAACTGTTAGTCATTTATAATTTGATTTAAAATGTTCTTTCAGGCAGACTTCTTAGGAAAATAATGCACCTATGTTATAGGTTGGTGGTATTCTGGACTCTAGAGATTCTAACCCATCTACTGAATGACATGACCTTCACTTGGTATTGTGTTCATTTCCTCTAGTGACTAGAATTCAGGGAAGATTGCAAAAGGTAAAGAGAATAGCCTTTCTTTCACTTATCTATACTTAACTTTGTTAAATCATGTAATCCTAGGGAAATTGTTCTGTTTTGTATTTAATCATAAATTGGGTAGAGATGCCATTAACTGTGACTGGCAAGCATGAGAGTGTTCTTATTTAGCACTTGAAGGGAGCTGTGAGGTAACTAAAGGGACAGTGACACTAAGTCCAGTGTGTGTGTGTGTGTGTGTGTGTGCGCGCGCGCACACGTGCATGACTTCTGAGTAAGGGGTGTGTCCTGCCCCACTCTGTTTACATTATTTTTTATTTTATTTTTGCAGAGTAATTGGGGAAATTCCTTACTTAGTGTAAATTTCCTTGAAGTATCTTTGATATGAAGTCAGGAAACTCAATTCTCAGCTGTTTTGAATCCTTGGTATTTTTTAAAACCCTAAATTTATTGGTCAGTTTTGCTCAGAACATACATCTCCCATTTCTGCACTCTTTTGTCTTGTAGTATGAAACATCCCAGGATTTTCATTTCCAAATTGAAGTGATAGTCATATATGTGTACACCCAGAGTTAAGGAATCTTTTTAGCCTTAATGTTATGAATTACAATACAAAACAAATCAGGAACTGTAGAAATTTCTGACTAAGGAGTCAAGTTTTTGATTTATACTGCTGGATCAAAGGGATCAGTTCCTTGCTGCTCTGTTTGAGAAATAGATGGAAGTATGGGAGGAGCCACAGACCACTGCAGCAGGATTTGGTGTGAGTAGAAAAGGAAGATTTTTGTTTCAAATCGCCAGCTGCTTATATCAAACTGACTCCCTTATTATGCTTCCAGTAGGCCTGTCAATATGGCCAAACAGCTAGATAAGTGCGGGGCAGGACAAAGGGCTCTTTGCACAGCAGGGAAGCAGTGTTAGTGGGGGAGGGGCAGGAGGTAGGCAAAGCAATAGGAGATTCCCCCCCCCCATTATTCACTTTGGTTTACAATTAAAGAAACTGTTTTTAGTTCCCATTTAAGCCTTGAATTTATGCCAAGCATATACTTT